GCAACCTACTAGCGATGGCCCCCAACCTACTAGCAATGGCCTGCAACCTACTAGCAATGGCCTCCAACCTACTAGCGATGGCCTCCAACCTACTAGCAATGGCCTGCAACCTACTAAGCAATGGTCTCCAACCTACTAGCGATGGCCCCCAACCTACTAGCAATGGCCTACAGCCTACTAGCAATGGCCTCCAACCTAAGAGTGTTTGGGACATCGTATGAATCAGATGAAACAAGTGGAAATTCGCATGATTCCCTTCGTTTTTTGTTTGAAGTCAATTGTGTACAAGTCTAAGGAACTCTACAACCAGTTGGAGAGGATCGAAGAACTGCGTCCCGGCACTGCCAAGCGATTGAAGGACCGAGACATGGTTTATGGTTTCGAGTCGGAGAAAACAAAAGTAGATCTGATGTCAGTAGATGAATCATGATGAATTTCTACTAGTAACAAGAAAGCTTTCTAGTAACTAGAAACTAGGTGGATGGCCATCGCTAGTAGGTTGGAGTCCATCGCTACTTCAGCAGAGACTCTTGACTTGCTAGGAAGCTGTGCGCAGCATTGGTCTCTTCGAGGAGGCTGTCTATCAGACTGAAACGGGTGTGTGTGTGTGTGATCACCACTCTAGGCTGTAGAGGTGGCAGATGCAGTGCTCAAACGTCGTAGTGCAAACAAACTTCCGTGTTCAGGCGAGGGAAGGCACAGGTTCTCATCCCCGACCACCGCGTTTTTGCCCTAGAGATTTAATTCGTGGGAGAGACAGGTTTAGGTCTAGCCAGTCATCCCTTTGGTGATTCTGAGGTTTGTTTCTTGGGATTCTTGCCAGCTTCCTGGTTGTCCTATTGGCTTTCCTGGTATTTTGGGTTGGGAGCTTGGTTTCGGCTGCAATATGAAGAGTGCCAGAGGTGCCAGATTGCTGGATACCCTGAGGTTTGGCGACAGTCAGGAGAAGCAGAATGAAGCAGACACCATAATCTCTTGCATTCCAATTCTAATAATGAAGTTTTGTCGATTCGTTTTTGATGTGTGTCAAAGCTGCTTGGAACTCTTTTGACACTCCAATGGTCAGCACGAAAGCGGCGTTACTCTGGCTCAAGCAAAGTTGCTTTTGCCACACTTGCTGCTTCAAACCAGTAGATTTACTGTAGAGGCCACTGAGTGCGCTTCAACCCTTGAAGCTTGTGTCACTGTATCAGCCAACCACTACTCCGCTTGTATCACAAGAAGGCTGGAAAAGGCCAGTAGTCTTTCTCCCAAGCAGAGATGCACAGCTGGGGCGCTCCTGAGTGCTGACCAGAAGAGGCACGTGGGACTTAACCCAAAAGCGACGGCCTCCACCCTAGTAGCGATGGCCTCCAACCTACTAGCGATGGCCTCCACCCTAGATTTTGCTTGGTACAAAGGTAATCATTTCAAGTTTCAGACAACAATTGGCTTTGCGTTTATCCAGTGCCTTTACCCTTTTTTTCAGACCATGATGGCTCAAGCCAACTTCGAACTGGGCTCTCTGCCTCCGGGCGATGCGCTAAACTGGCCGAGATCCCATCGGTCTGCGCGGCCGAAATCGTGGGATCTGCGCCTGGACCGAGGAAGAAGCGCAGCCATCGCAGCCGGTGGAGTTGGTCTTCTGAACAGAATTTCTTCCCGTGGCCAGGGTCGGGCCCAGGCTCGGGCGCGCTGTGGGAAGAAAGGAAAGCCGATGCCAGTGGATCAGTCAGTCTATCCGGCCAAGGAGCTGTGTAGCCGCTGCGGCTTTTGTAATACCTCGCTGATCGCACAAGTTCAAGATGCCTGTGCCTTTCTGGGAGCTGGAATGGCTCGGATCGACCAGTTGGAGCACACGGTGCATGGACGTCCACGGCAGGAGGAGGAACTCTATTTCGGTGTGCAGGTCCAGGCTCGTTTTGAGCAAAACCAAGAAAGCCGGTCTGACCAGCCGATGGCCGGCCCACAGCTTGATTTTGAATCACATTTTTGCACAGTGTCCATGACACGGATTGATTTGCGTGACTCTTTCGCATCCCGCGTCTTTCCAGGATGGCCTGCGGCCCATCCAAGTGGCGCCCGAGGCTCGCACCGGGCGACGTGCCTGGACCGGGGTGGTCACGAGCATCGCATGTGAAATGTTGAGATCGAAAGCGGTGGATGCCGTGCTTTGTGTGTCCAGCACGGTGGACAAGCCATTGGAGCCCAAACCCATCTTGGCACGGAGCGTGGAAGAAGTCCTGCAGACTGGAGGGGTGAAACCAATGTTGTCGCCCAACTTGCTGCCACTGGAGGAGCTCTGGCAGGACAGGTCTGGGGATTGGATAGCTTGAGACTGACATGTTTTGACATAAACGAAACGATTGCAACAAGGTTGGAGGCCATCGCTACTAGATTGGAGGCCATCGCCATTAGGTTGGAGGCCATCGCTTGTAGGTTGGAGGCCATAGCTTGAACCCCAGCTCCAACAGCCTGAAGGTTCGTGGAGAAGACATCCAGCGTTTGCTCTTCATTGGAGTTGGCTGCCAAGTGCAGGCTTTGCGTTCAGTAGAAGCTGATCTTGGTCTCAAGGAGCTATATGTGCTGGGGACGAACTGTGTCGACAACCCACGCAATGCGGAGGCCCTTCATCGCTTCCTACAAAGTGCAAGCGAGACCCCTGAGACAGCCACAGGCTTCGAGTTCATGCAAGACAATCGGATTCACGTGAAGCATTCAGATGGGCGATATGAACGAATCCCGGTCTTTTCACTCAAAGAGCCACAAAACTGTACCGGAGTCATTGCGAAGTCCTGCTATTCCTGTTTCGACTATGTGAACGCATTGACGGACTTGACTGTGGGATACATGGGAGTTCCGTGGCAGGGCGGACGCATGACGGAGCACCAACAGTACTGTGTGGTGCGCAATGAACGTGGCCAAAAGATGTTGAGGCTTTCGCAAAGCGTTTTGGAACTTGGACAGGCCGGCTAGGATCATGGTTTTGAATCTTTGTTCCAAGAGGTCCCGCGTAATTCGCCGTTTTTGGCAAGCCCACAGAGCTTTACGGATGTCCTTCAGTCACAGACCACCCAATCGATCGAATCGATTCAATGCTTGTTTGGTACAAGACTTTAAAGAGATGCCTTTGGAGACGTCAAGACTTCAAATGCCCGTCCACCCAAGCATCCCAAGCACATTCATTTCTCAGGCGGAGGAGCTCCAGGTGGACGGGCGCTTGTCACGTCAGCAGCTGCTGCCGGAGGTGCTGCGCCCGGAGTTGGATTTGGCCTTTGGACAGCGGAAGCCAAGACCCGAGCCACCGAGGTGAGGAGAAAGAGAGGGAGGCCTCCAACCTACTCGCGATGGCCTCCAACCAGGTAGCTTCATGTTACTAGTAGCTTCTTGCTCCTAGTAGTACGGCCAGGAGCCCCTAGTAGCGTCCTTGCTCCTAGTAGCGATGCCAGGAGCCCCTAGACTACCAGCCCTATAGGAGCACACTCTTTGCGCACTCGTGCACATTCCATGGTTCCAGCTCCGCTCCCGGAGGCTCCACTCCCTGGTTGAGTTGGTTTCTGCTCGGGGTTCCCCTTACGGAGATAGGGTCTGAGATGTGGTGATCCGAAAGGTTGTCTTCATTGTTTCTAATAGCAAACATTGTTACTACTAGTAACAAGTACCTTACTAGTAGTAACAAGAAGCTTAGTAGAAACAAGAATTAGTAATTAGGATTAAGTTTAATTAGAATTAAGTTAATTAAGAGAGACTACAGACAGCAGGATCTGTTCACATCCACAAAAGAACCCTGTTGAAACATGCCTGACACCGTGGGTTGTGCCAAAGACCCCTGTAGCTGGCGACACGTTCTTATGAACATCGGACGCCTTTTGGGTAGTCTTTGCCTGAACCATCCTGAACCCCTCACATCCAACATCATCCAACATCGAATGCTTCATGACTTTTCCTCTTTTGCTGCTTTAGACGTTTTTGCACTTTGGACATGGCTTGTTTTGACCTCAGCCCCCTCGCTAGTAGGTTGGAGGCCATGGCCATCGCTATTAGTAGCCATCGCTCTCAGGTTGGAGGCCATCACTAGTAGGGTGGAGGCCATCGCTCTTAGGCGCGTTCTTTGGACTTCTCGACTTGCCAGCGACCCACTGGGACTGCGCGTCTCGTCTTTGGTTCGTAGGTGGCTGGCGGAGCTTTTGAGCGAGGTCTTCACTTGGCTGGGCCCACAAGGCTTGGACTTCGCACGTGCCTCCATTGACAGGGCCACCTTGAGGAACTTGGTGTGCTTGGAGGAGAAGGGTTGGCGAAAAGGTTAGGGGCTCCTGGCCTTGCTACTAGGAACAAGGACGCTACTATATGTATTCGTCATGACTTATCAAACGAAGATGTGGATGTTGCAAGATGCTACAGTTGCATTTTCCCCTGAGATCGCAGTGTCGTTTTTGTCCTCAAGGTCTGGGCTTAGGACAAACAACATGTGCTGGCAGGTGGACCTATTGAAGAAGCGGGCAGGACAGCAAATGGAGTTGGATGCGACTTTGCCAAAGCATGCGAAGAAGATCCGCTCTCAATATCAAGAGCTCTTCGAGACACTTCTGGAAACTTACAGAGGAAAGCAAGTGCAGTGAAGCATAGCGAAGCACCGCGAAAGGATTATACACACCTTGTTTGGCGCTTCCCCAAGGACCTCAGGCAACCTCAAGCCCGACTCAAGCCTGAACACTATTGACCTTCAGGACCAAGAGCGATGGCCTCCAACCTAAGAGCCTGCCATCGTCCGGGAGCATCCTGCACTTCCCAAGCCGGCCCATGATTCTCTCCGGCGTGACGAGCGATGCTCACGCGGAGACCGCTCCACGTCGCGATGCTCCGAGAGACCGCCCGCAGCGGGAAAAGGGGACGCGGAGAAAGGATCTCGTCCTTTATCGATCTTTTTGAAGTTGTAGGAACAAGGGCATTGCTACTAGGAACAAGGACCTTTCACTCACTTTCGCTTCTAGTAGCAATGCCCTTGTTACTACATGTTACTACTATCTCCCCCTACTTTTTTGAGTCTTCGGAACGTTGATGCGGACGTCTTCCATCTTGGCCTTGTTCCGCCTGCGAGGCATGAGCGTGAATGTGCCGGCCTGCCTACCAGACTGGGCCCAGGTGGGATCGGCCCACAACGTTTCGCGCCTGGAGGGATCCAATCCTTTGGTGCTGAACATCTGATGAGGGACATTTGAAAAACATGTTTCATGTTCGCCAGGAATTGACCTAATTATACGCGGCACGATTGCTGACTTTTGCTGACTGAAGAAAGTGGTGAGACCTTTGCGCGCCCGGCTGCAATAGACGACAGGAGGGGAAGTCGTGCCCTTATGGAAGCAAGCCAGGAGCCTTAGAGTTGGTTGGCCTGTGACCTACTTTGCAGCATTTGTATGCATTTGTTGGTTGGCCTGCCAGAGGTCCGGTTTGCTCTTGGGCAACTGGACCTGGCCCGATCAAGGCAGGGGCGTTGAAAGCGCCTGGTGCCAACAAGACATGCTTTGAGCTACAAGTAGAAAGCAACAACCTTAGAAACTCTAACCCATTTTCATCCATTTTCCAAGTCTGCGCTCACATTGATCCCGATTCGACGCAACTTCCACATTCGGTCCATTCGGTCGTCGCTGGCAGGCGTGACATGGATCCACTACATTGGTGCATTCTACTCGTTTATGCCCATGTTGTTTCCTGGCCAATGGATGCCAACAGTTAACTGTTGTCCTGCAGCCCTGCGTGATGTTAAGGGTGATCTTCGGCATTTTGATCTATGGCCTCTGGAGCGGCATTTGTGTTTTCTTTGGAGCGGCCATCGCTCGATTCCGGGGCCCTTCTTTCGATTCCCAGGACTCGAGGCGTGAGGGAGCTCTTCGCCTTCATCTTCCAAGGGCTCACAGTGGTGGAACGGGACCTCAGAGCGTTTTTGTAGGTTGAAGGCCATCCGCTGGTAGGTTGGAGCGATGTTGGGGGAAATCCCACTTTTGGAGCGATTGTTACTTCTAGAACGGTTTCATCGACTTTTCACATGGAAGCATCATGTGAGCCATGTCTCAAGCTGGGGCTCCTGGCCTTACTACTAGGAGCAAGGACGCTACTAGGGGCTCCCCCCTCCTACAGGTTCCTGTAGCGCTCCATTTCTCAGGTGATGACTGCCATGAAACTCATCATCAAGCAGCGTCGGCCGGTTGTGTTGGTCTCAGCTTTTCGACCTAAAAAGTTAGGCTCCGCTTTTTTTTGCCAACCGAGTCGCAGCCGAAAGTAGGTTGGAGGCCATCGCTAGTAGGTTGGAGGCCACTTAGGATGTTTCTATATGTTCCTGATGTATCGGCTGAACTCAGCTTGGAGTTTCGTGTCCGTTTGACCTGCGTCGCTGTGATTCAGGGCTCCTGCAGTGTGACTTGCGGGATGCCTTCGGGACACACCGTTGCGAGGGGAACTTAGTCATCTGGAGACCACATTCTTTTTCGAAAAACACCAATTCGAAGTACCTCATTCTTTTCTTAAAGAGCTGTGCGACTGGGAACCGAGAATCGCCCATCGGTGCAATCTGAGGACCATTGGCACCTTCGTGTGGATTGCACTGGAGGCCATTTGTGATGCCACCGGTGACGGCATTGGTGCGCGTTGATGGCGTGGTTTCAAGAAGTGCAGGTCTGGGCGGCCAAGTGTATGGAACCCAAGCAGAAAGCCTTAGTCCTTGGCGTTGCAGGTGGGCGGATGTCTCACTAACATCAAAGTGACAGGCTTCGCCAACCGGCGATGCCTGTGGGGGGATGCGTGTATGCGGAGGCGACTACTACGACCACTACTACTACTACTGCTACTACTACTACTACTATTACTACTACTATTACTACTACTACTACTACTACTAGGACTAGGACTAGGACTAGGACTAGGACTAGGACTAGGACTATTACTACTACCACGACTAGCAGGCCGGCGCACTCGCGCACACGCACACGCACGTGCACAAGAGCGCGCGAGCGCGAACGCCCGACGCCGCGACGCCCGCACGCCCGCATGCACGCGCACGGCTCCTTCAAATATCACGGCTTTGCAGTGGAAAGCGCTCAAAACGTTGTACTTATTGAATATGTTTGAGCATTTTCTAGCCCAAAGCTATCTCCGCTTAGGCTACAAAATGCTCAAATACACAAGAAGCCCACGTGGTGCTCGAAATGTCGGCCGCAAGCCAGCATTTCGAGCATCACCGAGACGTAAATATTTTATTGAAAAAGTTAAACAAACACAGGAGAAATTGTAAAACATGGCTACTGTAAAACTTTATCTCTACAGAAGAGAGTATGCTAAGAGGAGAGACAGTTTTGAGGTAGCAGTCGTGTCATGCACCATTGGCATCATCAAAATACGAGCAGCGTTGTTGATTAACTACTAAGAGGAGAAGGAGTTTTGAGTTAGCAGTTGTGTCAAACACACCATTGGCATCAACAGAATATGAGCAGCATTGTTCATAAATTGCATACACGCTGCAAAAACACTGTAACTTACAGTGTTTTCTGCCTAGTCATACACCACAGGATTTGCATCTTTCCTGCGAAGACCTTGCTGATGCTCATGATGCTTGGCCAAAATGTATCCTCAAAGCCTCTATCCATTTTCACTGCTTTATTTTCTACAGGTTTGGAAGCCGCTTTTTCATCCGTGGCCTTTTTTGATCATTTTCGCATGTTTTTAACGTTTTTTGACGAATCTACATGAACCCTGATGATGCTAGAAAAGAGGTCGGCGGCATGCCATATAGCAAAGCTATAGCAAAGCTAAGCTTGCTAGGACTGTGGTACGGCGTTGCCGGAGTGCCGCCGACCGCAGTTAGTGGGCCAGAAGCCAGGCAGGACAGGATGTGGGAGAGGTTGGCGTGCGGAACAGTAGAAGCCATGGTTGCCAAGCTCAGAGCCTCCCAAATGAAGCGCAACTAGGAGCCTCAGGAAGCAGGACATGGGCAGGCCAGGTCGGCGCAACGTTGCTGCGGAAGGTTTCAGGGCACGACCATTGCCGCTACCTAACGTCACCTTCGAAGCCCTATTGAAAGAGGTGCCTAGGCCAGCGCCAGGGAGGTCTAGGCCAGCCCAGGGACCAGGCCTTCTGTTTGCTCCTGACTCGCTCGTTAAATGCTTTTCAAAGTGCTTTTTCACCTGGCGCATTGAAAAGCACGGAGGGCAGTGACAGAGAGCACAGGGGCCAGAGCAGGCAGGTGGCAATCGCTTCTCTCTACCGCGAAGCATATCCTATGTCCTGCTGAGCAACTGAGGCCGTGAAAAATTGACTGAGGCCATGAAAAGCTGGCAAAGCCTTTGCTCGCGCCACCACAGGCCCAATGCCAACCGCTTCACCCTGCGGTGTCCCAGGCGCCGCCCCGCCTAGGGGCAGGGGTCGGCGGATAACAAGCTGCTTCTTCCCAGCAAGATGTTCGTGAAACTTGAAACTTTGGCAGGTTTGCCCCTGATTCCTGTTGGCTGGAGTCGGGTGCTTTTCCATGACCATTCCTGGGACCAGGCTGATTGCCGGTCGCCCACTGTGCTACTGTGCTGGTATGTTGACATTGGTGCCATACAAGTCCCACATGCAGGTCTTAGTTGGCGCTGTGGTGGGAACCCTGCTGGCTGTCATTTGGTATGGATTCTTGACGTCTCGCCACGCCGGCCAGTTTCGGAAGACTGTTCTTCAGAGGTTTTGCAGTCAGCCAGTAGATGATGTATTCGCAGTCTGTGGCCAGGTCTAGCTTGGTGGCTCATCAAGGTCGGCCTTTTGGCCCTTTCTGACTGTGCTCTTTTTGCCGTTTTTCCCCGTCGTCGTTTCCTGGGTGCAGTTGCTGAAAGCTTGGGTGCCCTTCGTGGAAGTGTCCGCCGGCTCAGCGCACCTTCAGCCGCGCACATTGAAGGGTCCACAGAGGTCAACATTGTCGACAGGGGTCATATGTAATGAAGAGTTAAAAAGCACACAGAAAAAGGCGACCATGGAAGGCGACGTATATGTTTCAAGCGTGTGGCCGAAACAGATTCTCAGGTGTGGCCGAATTTTCACCCGGGTGCTAAGGAACTATCCCATCGACGGTATGACTGAAGAGGCTCCTTGGGCTCCACAAGCCCCACCGGCCGACTACGGCACACGGGAACTAAAAAGCCAATGAGACGCGACTCCGTCGCCTCCGCTCACCTCGAGGCACCAGCGATGCCCGTTCTGGCCTCCAACCTAAGAGCGTCCTTGCTCCTAGTAGCGATGCCAGGAGCCCCTAGTAGTTTCTTGCTACTTGTAGCGATGGCCTCCACCATAACCAAAATTCCATTTTAGAACTGCTCAAGTTGACAACTGACGTGGAAGCTGGTTGATAACTGGCAACGGGTTGATCCGGTTCTTGCCAGACATCATTTTGACACATCGCAGATCCCTCGTTTCACCGCGGATCGCCTCTCGTGGTGCCCGCTGCGGAAAAAGAGAAGCCTGCGCTCTCCCGAAGCCTGCGTGGTTTCCTGGACGAAGGGGCATCGAAGAGTCACGCTGCTTGGCTTGTGATCACCTCAATGAGGAGCTGTGCTGGAGCCGGTGGAGCCAGGACTGGGGTTTGGTTTGGTTTGACTAGATTACCACTCATGATCCAGTCTCTGAGCAGTCAAGACACGATGCAAGATCAGATCTTGGCACACACGATGCTTGCAGCTCATTCAATGGGGGTTTTGTCCTTTTGTGATCTACTAGAAACAAGAAGCTACTAGGAACAAGTGCATCGCTTCTAGTAACAAGTGCCTTACTAGTAGTAACAAGGACGCTAGTAGAAACAAACTAGAAACAATGATTTGTTTCTCCGTTTGCTTCCCTCGTTCGACTTGTTCGCTCGTCAGGTGCGAGAAGTTCCAATTCCTCCGTCCTGTCACCAGTGGGAGAAGACTTGCCAGAATCAGCAGTGAGAGGCAGTGTGTGAACATGTGTGGGCAGACTGCTTTGATAAAGGGCTGTATATAGCCAAGAAACGTAAAGAAACTGTTGCATTGCTAGTTGGTTTCCCAGCGCAAGCTAGCGGGATGAGAGTTCATTCAAGCAAGTCTTCCAACAGGCATCCGAAGGCAAGTCCTTAAAGTCTGTTTGGGAGGCACTACAGAAGATGCGGCGGAGAAACCAGGACTTGTAAGTTACCATAGTGTTAGTCTCCCATCTGACAAGTGACTTGCAAGTTACCGGACTCTTGTTGGCTGTGCTGGGGCGCTTCTTCTTTGTAGGAGTGGCCACCACCGCTGCTGCCACTACCAGCACCACCAGCACCACCACCGCTGCAGCCTCCTTCACCATTGATATGTCCCAGGCAGACCTCTTCCCAGTCGTGCAAGGGCAGTTTCTATCATTTTCCAGGGGCTCCTGGCCTTACTACTAGGAGCAAGGACGCTAATAGGGGATCGCTACTAGGAGCAAGGACCCTCCTAGGGGCTCCTGGCATCGCTACACTAGGAGCAAGGACGCTACTAGGGGCTCCTGGCATCGCTACTAGGAGCAAGGACGCTACTAGGGGCTCCTGGCATCGCTACTAGGAGCA